AGTAAGTTGTTTAGTTTTAGGATCTATTTTTAAATTAAATAAATAATTAGTAATTAGAAATAATATAAATAATTTAGAAATAAATATAACAATAGACAAGAATAAATAAATAATACAAACTATAATACTGTATCAAATTTTTTATGGTTAGCTTTTCTGCCGGTAGCAACCACAGACTCTTAATTTCTAAATCATTATCATTTTGCTAATATATTGTTTAGCACATTCATAAATACCACCCTATTTACTTATGTAATCTCTTAATAAGAACTGTAAGAATCATAAAATCACACTAGTAGTTCACATGGTAAAATTACTATTTAAAATACAATCTTCACAATGTTAATGTTTATACAATTCTAAAAGTTGATTCTGGGATTCAAAACCAAATATATTGACTAATTATTAAAAAAAAGAAAACTAACCTTTGGAGCTTGTAAGGTGATAAGGTTGTAAAATGTTAAACGATCAAAAGGCTTCTTCTTAAGATTGGTAAGAAAATTAGAAGTAGGTTTTGAAAAAGATTCTAGAGAAAAGAATTTAGCTTTGCAATGAATCTGTTTTTGTATAGTAAGTCTTATCTAACTAAAAGTATAATGATTTAGTATAATAATTTAATATTAAAGATTTTTATTAATAAAAATTATATATATATATCAATGCCATTTGGGTACCCTTATAAGTACCATCAGGAAGTTCTTTAACAAGTTGACGAGTAACACTCATCTCTGCAAATTTTTAAAATATTCGAATACTTTCTTGTCCTTTTTAACTCTGATTCCTTTTTTATAGTAATATCCTATATGCTTACTAACAATTGTGATAGCATAAGTAAAAATTCTATTAATGTACTTGTCACTTTACATTTATTTTCATCAACTTCCAGAAATAAAAATAACTACTAACATTAAATGCTCTTTTAAAAAGTTCGATTTCAGCTAAAATTCTATTTCAATAACAATGTTTTGGATAATATGTTTTAGTAACATAATTCATTTTAATAATTAATAAATGCTTTACACTCACTTGTTTTGGCTTCAACTTTGCATAGATGATAGTTATCAAGTATACCTGTTTCTTTAATATATCCTGCTTTATGTTTGTTCATTTTATTGCCAGTTGTGTTCTGATAACCATATTCAAGTTATTCTCACAATAACTGCTCTATAACAGAAAAAAAATCTAGATAAGTACTATCAGGAAGTTCTTTGACAAGTTGACGAGTAATACCCATCTCTGCAGATTTTTAAAATATTCAAATACTTTCTCATCCTTTTCAACTCCGATTCCTCTTTTATAGCAATATCCTATATGCTTACTGACAATTGTGACAGTATAAGTAAAAATTCTATTAATGTACTTGCCACTTTATATTCATTTTTATCGACTCCCAGAAATAGAAATAACTACCAACATTAAGTGCTCTTTCAAAAAGTCCAATTTCAGCTAAAATTCTATTCTAGTAACAATATTCTAAATAATATGTTTTAGTAATATGATTCATTTTAATAATTAATAAATACTTTACACTTGTTTGTTTTAGCTTCAACTCTGCATGGATAGCAGTCACCAAGGGTATCTGTTCTTTTAATATGCTCTGCCTTATGTTTGTTCATTTTATTGCTAGTTATATTCTGATAATCATATCCAAGTTATTCTCACAATGACAAAAAAAAAAATTCTAGAAAACTAAATTTTATATTTTTTTTATAATACTATTGAATTTATTGATCGTAATCTATTCTCACATGATGATTTATCTGTCAAAAGGTTCTAGTTTATAACCAGTGTTGAGCAAATTAGTGGTTGACCAAAAATTTG